TGTATAATTACAGCAAGACGTCCTTGTTCCTGTATCTAATTCTTCTTGCATTGAATGCCAAAGTACAGTGTGCCTCTTTATTGCCTGCTGTACCTGCACTCTTATCATCAGTGACAGGTGGATGACGATACCAGGTCGCATTGAACATCCGCTTTCTCTATTTACAGCCATTAAAAAATGATGTGGCTTCCTATCTTTGCTATCAAATTGGATAACCTCACATTTACCCACATTAAACTGCATCTGCCACGCATTTGCCCACTTAATTAATGTGCCCAAATTACACTGCAACATCTCTGCATCCTACTCTGCATCCTTCCAACCAACTTTGTGTCGCCTGCAAATTTTGAGACATTACATTTCATTCCCTCAACTAAATCATTAATATGTATTGTGAATAGCTGAGGTCCTGTGGTAATACACTAAGCACTGCCTGCTATTTAGGGTAAAAAAAAAAATTCCTACTTTGTTTCCTGTCAGATAACCAATTTTCTATCCATCTCAATACATTACCTCCAATCCCATGCGCTTTAATTTTACACATTAATCTCTTACATGGGACTTCATCGAAAGCCTTTTGAAAGTCCAAATAAACCACATCCACTGGCTCCCCTGAACCACTTTACGAATTATATCCTTGAAGAATTGCAGTAGATTTGTCAAGCATGATTTCCCTTTCATAAATCCATGCTGACTATGTCTGATTCTACCACTGATTTCTAAGTGTGCTGCTTAGAAAATCCTTGATAATCTTCCCCACTACTGACATCAGACTCAATGGTCTATAATTCCCTGTTTTCTGTCTGCCTCCCTTTTTAAATAGTGGAGTTACATTAGCTACCCTCCAAACTGTAGGAACTGTTCGAGAGTCTAAATAATCTTGTTGAGTGATATTAGAGCCACGTAGAGTCATTCCATAGCCCTCCTTGTTGGACTGATCCAAGTCCAACTTTGTGGAACATATACAAAGCCTTTATTTGTGAGTGAAGTTAATGTTTAATGCTGACATCATTGTTTTGTTGCAAACACGACAAATGATCCAACTGCAGCAGTTGTCTACAATACACTCAAAATGCATAGAAAATGAAAAGGAACAGATGCATCTCAGGACTAACACCTTCTTCCAATGGATGCCCGGCAGCCTGCACATAAGGAGGTCGTGCCCTCAGGTTAAAGAGGAGATACAGGAGAGCCAGAGTCTATTGGCCTTAATACCATTTCCTTCAGGTGAGAAAGCTGCAGTGTCAGCACAGACTGAGGATGTCCCAGGATACTGTCATAGAGCCATGCCAGGTACTTGAACAGGGCCCACAACCTGAAGGGATGGGTGGCCATCAAGGTAACAGTTGCGTCAATATTTTATATAACTGGGTCCTGCCAAGAAGCCACTGGGAGCCTATGCGGGCTCCCTCAGTTACATTGTACAAAAGTATTAAGGGCATAACCAATGCTATTTCTGCTAAATCACACCACTTCATCGAACTCTCCCATGATGAGGGCAGTGCTACATCCTGAGCAATATGGCGCAGCAACATGCATAGCTAGCCTCCTGCAGGTGCAGGTCTGATAGACTGCACAGACATCATGCTGAGAGGTTCATATCATATTGCAGCTGAGTTCATCAATAGGAATGGATATCACTCCATTTAATATGCCAGAGGTTTGATCTCACCAGTTCCATTTCTGGGAAGTTAGTGCATGGTACCCTGGGAAGTACCATAATGCCCATTCCCTTGAAAATTCTTGTGTACCTGCTGCCTTTGAGAAGCCAGAATCCTTATCAGGATTGTTACTGGGGGACAAAGACTACTTTCTGCAACTGCGTTACACTACTCCTTGACTAGGGTCATATCATCGATAAAATAGAGCTCATTCTTCAACAAATTCCAGCAGTTGAAAGGACAACCTAAGATAAGATTCTGCTGCTTGTCACATTATCCTAGCATGGTGTGTGGTGCTCTGCACAAGCCAAACTGGATTTAACTAACTCCTGGTTCCAGAAGATGTGAGCTGGGTGCTGTGATCATTCAGTGATGGTAAAATTATTGGTGCTTGACATGCAAAAAGTTTGTTTTAGTTCTGAGATGTAAACACAGCTCACTTTTGGTATATAAAAGTGAATGTTTTGAAGTAATTGAAGACTTTCTTGAACATAACACTTCAATATTGAACAGTGATAAGATACTGGCCTGCAGTGTGCAGAAGGGAAAGAGGAGCAGTGACTTAGAGGACTGTAAGAGGGAATATGGCTTAACACAGGTAATCTGTGTGACCTGGTGCTTACATCGCAATAGGTGTAGGACCGTGCAGCTATGTTTACGAGGAAATGCCAGCAATGCCACCTCCATGCTATGAGAGGCATCGGTTCGTGACTCTTCTGCCACTATGCTGATAGTGAAGGGGATTTATGGACTGCTAATGCTTGATTGGATGTTGGCTGGTCATCAAAAATGGCACCATTGCCAGGGATGCTATGAAATCCTCGGACATCCCTCTAGTGGCAATTACTTCTGGTTGCAGTGATTGGAAAAGTGACTAATAATGGACAAGAGGAGATCCATACAGGTATGTTAGGTAGTTAAATAGGTGGACCTCATGGAGAGAAACCCTCTGTGACACTTGACAGAAAGCACAACTAGCTAAAATATTCAAAGATTCATCCTATTTCTTCAATGTAAAATGAAGAGGACATGTGACTTGTTCTGATTTCTACTTGACTGCAAACTAGGTGGATTGACTGTTAAATAATAAAGGATACCCAGTCAGTTATTTCAGGAAGAAGGTTCAAAATGCTGAAATTTTGAGACAATGGTAGCAGCATCTACATTTAGAATTATTCCAAGCAGCTAAACTTCAAACTGCCAGGAAAATGTTGAGAATATCATGTTGTAAATATTTATGCTTCAAACTGTCCATTTATTTCCTACATAAAGGAGAATTCAGGTCTCAAGGATAGTTAAATAGCATTTCTAGCTGAAGAAAGGGCCATGTGATTCATGTTGCCATGGAAGTGAACTTTAACAGAGGAAAGTGTCGAACTTCTCTCTGAAAACTCACAGACAAGGTTAATCCACAGGGATCCATGGGAGAGATAGAGGATAAGACCGCAGCTATGGATAAGATGACACTGTGATTAACTGTACAGGAATAGAGGTGCAAGCTTGCGCTGGTATTGAAAAGTTCATGAGTACTTAAAATAAGGCTGAAAGATTCACCTGGCTTGTGCAACAGATCTCCAGGGGAAAGCCCTCACTGTGAAAGATAGGTGTGAGATTAAAAGCTTTCGGATTGTGACAGGAAAAGAACAGAAATAAACTCTTGGGAGTTAAAAATCACCTCGAACTGAATGTCCAATTAAAGGTCAGTATCAAGTATATCTGTGAAGTTGTTCTTGATTGTGCTGAATGAGCAGGTGAAATGTTTGTTGTGTGTTTACACGTTTCGGTTGGCTATAAATATAGAACTTAGTCAATACTGCTTATAACATTTGGCTACAGTAAAATGTACCTCTTGTCTCGTAAGCGTCAGCCCTACGGACAAAACACCAGGAAGTGAAATTAGGCTGGGTGGCTCATTTTCTGGCTTGTGCAGATATGATGGACAAAGAGTCTTTTTTCTATGCTAGAAACTTTTCATGATTCTAAACTTTTGAGTAAAATCTTTTCATGTAAGTTGTTCAACCAGCAACTGAATGTTTGAATTTCTTAAGTTGGGAATTGGTAAGATAAATATCCCAAAGGTGAGTGCAGTACTGTTAATTGCTTAATTATGGTTTGTAAGAATGTGCCAATATTGCTAACTTTCTATTAATACACTCAAATAAACTTGTACAGATTTTTTTGATTTAACTGACATCTCAAGTTAGTTAGAATCCTGCCCAGATTAACTGAAAGCGTGGAACAGGTTTCTCTACTGAACAAAAATGATTATTTATTACAAGTGGGGTTTGATTTCCAGCACGCTACCCCAGTAAGTTGTAACTGCATAAACGATCTCAAATGGGCCTAGAACAAAAGTGTGTTCACAATGGGTTAGCCATGAAACTATTAATCATTAGTCCCTTGATAACAATTGCAAAAATTCTCTGCTCTCTTTAACCGTACTTTTTCTTGAATCCTTGCAGGAGTGATGAGTGATTGACATAGTGTTTATACTTTATGTGGACAGTTTGCTTTATCTTAAACTCACAACAAATCTGCCAATGGTTAGTTTAATTGACCATATGCTAAAGGAGGTGTGTATGCGTGTGTGTGTGTCGGGGGTATCCTGCCAAATAAAACCACACTGATGACAGAGAGTAAGAGTTGGGGTTACAGTTTCTCTCTCTTCCCTTGTAAGCAACAATAAACTGAAACAAGTATATTTTACAAATTATTTTACAAAATGAATTTGCCCATAAGTGTTGGCCAATACATTTCCATCTAAATGTTAATAAATTCTGTTGTGCCAGCTCAGGAAATGTACAAAAATGTTTGGTAAAGTTGTTTATTTTAATTTCAGCTGTCAAATTGATTCTCTTTGTGGGTCTGTTCTGACTCACCTCCCTGCACCTAAACCTATATTAAAATACTACCCACCCTCTGAACAAAATACATCAAATCTAACTTATTGAAATGCTTGTTTTCCTAGATATATAAGTTTGCACTCATTGATCAAAATAAATTGTGTTTATCTGTGAAATGTTTCCTAATTTTAACCAAAGCCAAAAGCAACAATTGGTGCTGAGATTTGAGGAAGTTACTACAAAGTTCTAAATTAAAAACTGGAAATTCCATAAGGGCTGCTTACAAATAAAATGTCTCTTGTGCTCAGTGAACTGACAAAACAATAACCAAGGCAGATAAATCCTGTGTCCAAACATAATCCCTCAAAATGCATTAAAACATTTAGCAACTTTTAAGTGGTTAGTGTCACTCAGACACATGCTATCTAAAGTTTCAAATTACATTCTATTGACCATGCACAAGAATGTTCTATTTCATACTTATAATAATACTTACAGTAGGGGCAACCAAAGACTTCAATTCTCAACCCGATATGACCTTCACCATTCCAGTCCAGTGGTACTAAACGTACATAGCGTGCTATGATTGGATGCTGTAAATCATGTCTCACTACTCCATCTGAGTTTGTGTTTCCTGCAAAGGCCTGTGGGAAACAAAACACAGAATGTTTAGTATTAAGGAGTCAACATAGCGCCTGAAAAGCAAAAGTGCTGATTTAACTGAATTTATGAATGCTAACACTTTTTGTAGTACAAACTTGGTAAAGACAGTTTCTTTATTGTGATGTTTTAGACTGTACAGTAATACCATTCAAGAAAGTAAATCACTTGTTTATTTACACTGCCAAACATTTGTACACCAAGAAAATTGGCTAAAATCATATTAATTTACATGTGTCGAATTGCTTTTTCAGTATCGTCCAAGTACAACAGCAATTCAAAATAGTTATGATTGGTCTTCATCCCTGAATTGGGAAGGAACAGATCCTTGTATTTGTGGCACCTAAAGTCAATCAGCTTTCAAAAAATGTTACATTGCCCCATGTATGTTACATATCACCTGTAGGACCCATGAACCCAAGGAATAATGGGCTGGATTTTCCAAGGAGCGGAAATCTCGAGTTGCAGGGAGGTAGGGGTGGAAGTGAGATATATGATGGGGGTGTATTTGGTCATAAACATAAAACAAAGTTGCTGGAAAAGCTCAACAGGTCTGGTAGCATCTGTGAAGGAGAAAACAGAGTTAACGTTTCGGGTCTGGTGACCCTTCCTCAGAACTTGGTGTATTTGGTCATGTCTGGTCCAGTCTGGCAGGGCGGTCTCACGATGTTGTATAAGTTCTGGGGTTTATAAGCGGTCTGGGCGAGGAGTAATTAGAGGTGTGTAGGGTAAGTATGGGCCCACTTTAATGGGCTAGCTCCTAAGTAACTACGTATTTAACAGTTTGGCTTTTCCTGAGTAAATATTTTACTTAATTCCACCACAACTCTTCAAAGTCTCCAATTTAAAACAAATCTTTCGGAGGGTTCCAGCTGCAAAGGGATTGGTGAGCAAAAAATTAAATTTCCAGGTAATTCCTTCAGAATGCACTAAGCTGGCAATTCCTCAGGATCCCCATAACAACTGCTACCTGTGCCAGTGGAAAATATGTGACAATACTTTGTTATTTCAGCTTATTGTCTAAAATATTATTAAACTATACAGAACATGTGGATGGGAAAATCAATCTAGATAAATATTTTGGCAAAACCAGTAGTCTTTGCCCACTGTTCAAGATTGTTAAACTTATTTGAAATTTTGTAATTCCTTTCCCACCCCCAAGAGTCTTTAATGGGCTACTGAACAATATCATTACAGAACGCTTCATGGAGTACTTAGTTACCATAACATTATTTTTGTGATTGTACCTGAAGTGGGAAGTATACACGGTTCAAGGTTAAACCAATTGAGTTAAATGGCTCAAGGAATTTAGTTGGGTCAAGGTCATGCACCGTGCGCATATGTTCACAGATCATTGAAAGTGGTAGGACAGTTAGGGAGAGCAGTAAGTAAAGCATACAGTATCCTTGGCTTTATTAATAGAAACATGAGGACACAAAAACAAGTAGGTGATGTTGAACTTAGACACTTGTTAGACCTCTGCTGGAGTACTGTTTATAGTTCTGGATGCCATATAATTGGAAGGATGTAAAATGCATTGGAGAGAGTGCTGAAGTGATTGACAAAAATGGTTCCAGGAATGAGGAACTTCAGCAATGAGGACAGATCAAAGAAGCTGGGACTGTTCTCTTTGGAGAGAAGGCAAAGAGGAGATCTTAGGTTTTCAGACTCAAGCGGGCTGAATAGAATAGATAGGGAGAAGCAGCTTTCAGAAACCAACAAGAACAAGAAGGCATAGATTTCAAGTGATATGCAAATAAAGCAAAGGTGAAGTGGGGAAAATTTTTCCACTCCGAGTAGTTGAGGCATAGAATGCATTTCCTGGAAATATGTTGGAGGCAGGTTCTACTGAAGCATTCAAGTGGGCAGTGGATTATTATTTGGATAGAAATAATGTGCAAGGGTATGGGGGGAAAGCAAGAGATTAACACTAGGTAATGATGCTCATTTAAAAACCAGTACAGGCACAATGGGCCAAATAGCTTCCTTCTGGGCTGTGACACTTCTGATTCTGTGAAAGAATTTGAGGGTGGTTGAGATGAGGTGGAATTGGGTGATTTACGGAGGGGGTGGTGCATTCTCCTCATGGCGCTATTGACTGTCATCTCTAATGATATACGAATAGCATTTGATAATTTATTTTCCTTTATTGGACTGCTGTAGCTTTTATTTTGAGGTGTTTGTTTTGATTTGCTAAGGGTAAAGTGAAAGGAAAGTGGAAAGGATTATTTTGATTGAGGTCTAATTCAAGCTCAGGATTGCTTTGTATTTGACTATCCCAGCTGGGGATCAATTGTTACCTACAGAGTGAGGTATATCCAATCGGTGATCAACTTTGTTGTGATAAAATGGTCTACATCAAGATGCAATGGCCATTTTCATACACTGCAGTAGCTATGTTAGCTTGCCTGATTTGGGGTGCCATTGTAGTGAATAAGTTGGACTTTCTAAGACTATTCGGCCATTTGTCTACCTTAGGCCTGGAGTCAAAATGGTTGAGTACGAACACAATTGCTTGGCATGGAGCAAAGATACATTTGGAGCTTGCGTGGAGTATGTTGAGAATCTTATACGGTTTTGAATTTTTGCTTGCAGGTAGTGACGCTGACAAGCCGAGGAAATTCCCTAAAAGGATGTCAGTTTGGTCAGCAGTCAGAAGTATGATAGCTCAAATTCCTTTACTGAAGTTCAGTGAATAGTCTACACTGACACAGTGGCCCTTCTAATGAATAACAGATGGAGGAGCAGAAGGGGTGAGGAGGTGATGGTTTGCAGCTGGGCAATCTAAATATACAAACCAATCAGGGGTCATGACAAATTTAACAACAGGGTCTGATTTATTTTTAAATTCTCTAATTCCCAGACGCAAGCAACCAGACTGCAGAAGGACAGTCATGTCACCAGGGAGAGATTCATTTAGAACGCACTATACGATCAATCAGATGATTGGATGTGCAGGATCAGTCATCGCACGTGGGACATCAGGACAGGGAAAGTCAGTCAGATTGTTGGTGGCAGTCGGTCAGATCACAGGCCATGGAGGGAGCATTTAGATGCTATGCCTAACTTGCAATTGCTTAGCATTATTCTCTCTTTCCTTCCGCCAAACAAAGGATCATCCCTGCCTCCCACTGCTTTTCCATAAGATCCAATAATTTAGCTGTGGTAGGCAAATCATCCAAGCATAGTGCAATGCAATATCTGACATTCTTTCCTGTCTTACAGGACAAAATGGTGTGCAATAGAAGTGAGGAACAAAATACCATTGAGACCAAGCACACCTCTATCCATTGAGCCCAACAGGAGAAAGAGCACTCTGCATCATTGGTCCAGCTGCAGCAGAGTGCAAGAGCATCAAATGTCACTGGTCACTTCAGTCTGACGGTCTGTTTTTGCTTTCTGGCCTTCTCATCGTTGGGCATCCTCAGTTTTCCAGCATGAAATTGATGCTGCTTACGGTGAGAGCATAGACCTCTTGCTTTTCCCACTGTCCCTTTCTGATTTTACATCCAGTATCCAAGGATTATTGTTACAGCACAGTCAAGAGTAAGGCAGAGATAGAAATCATACACCAGCAATGAGAGTTTATCATTACTTGATCTGACACTGCAGCCACCAACTCAGATGCTTGAAAAGTATATACCTTAAAGGCTGAAGAGAGACGGCAGTTGGAGATGAAGACATCGAGGGAGGGTAGGAGGCCTTGGGGTGGTGTCCTGGAGGAGGGGGTGTGTTGGAGGCGGGAGAAGGGGTCAGTAGAGGGAGGGTTAGGTTCACGATTGAAGAAGTAAGCGCAGTGGCGGAGGCAGCGGAAAAACTGTTCAATGTCCAAGCGTGAGTGGTATTCGTTGATGTGTGGGTGGAGGGGGACAAAGGTGAGCCCTTTACTGAGGACTGACCGTTCGTCCTCAGTAAGGGGGAGGTCTGGGGGGATGGTGAAGACTCGGCAGGGCTGAGTGTTGCTGTCTCCTCTGGAGCTGTTGGCTGTGGAGGCGGTGGGCGGAGCGACGTCAGCATTGGCAGTGGGTGGAGTTGTGTCGGCGTCGGTGGTGGGTGGAGCGGGGTAGGCGGCGGCAGCAGCGGTGTCGGCAGGTGCGTCCTCAGTGTCTGTGGTGTTGGCCTCGGAAATGGTGGCAGTGGCATCAGCAACGGTGTCGATGGCGTTCGCTGTCCCAGAAGTGGTGTACCTGGCGGCGGAGGATGTGACATCATCCGTGGTTGCATCGACATTGGCCTCATGGCCAATGGCAGTGGGCACATTGTGGGGAAGGTCCTGGGTAGGGTTGGGGATTTGGGAGGTGGAGGAAGCCCGTTTTGGGTGGCAGGCACCAGTAAGTTTACTGTACTTACGGTTTTTTGTGTCCAATAAAGCTGAGTAGAATTGGGAGTTCAGGTTCTGGATCCTACGAAGAATAAAAAACAGGAGAGGTCCTTTGCAGGTCTGGGAGAGGGAGGCTCTGAGCTGGGGTAGGCTTGATTGTAGCACCAGGAGATGCCGGCGCATTGCTGCGAGTGTGTGTTTCAGGAGTCGCAGGGAGAAACGCTTCTGAAGGATCTCAATGTAGACATTGTCGCGGTTGGAGATGAAGAGGTCGAGGGAGGGTAGGAGGCCTTAGGGTGGTGTCCAGGAGGAGGGGGTGTGTTGGAGGTGATGAAGAGGTCAAGGGAGGGTAGGAAGCCTTGGGGTGGTGTCCAGGAGGAGGAGGTGTGTTGGAGGTGATGAAGAGGTCGAGGGAGGGTAGGAGGTCTTAGGGTGGTGTCCAGGAGGAGGGGGTGTGTTGGAGGTGATGAAGAGGTCGAGGGAGGGTAGGAGGCCTTGGGGTGGTGTCCAGGAGAAGGGGGTGTGTTGGAGGATGAGCACGTTAAAGGCTGGTATAGATGAGAATCTGCATGTAGTGGGTCACTGAACATGCCTGTACTGCAGTCAAGCTAGGGGAAAAGATTGCACATATGCCAATGCTCCTGACTGCAAGTTTGTCTACAA